AATGACATCTCATGGAAGTGCCCTTCTTTTGGCTAAAGCAAGCATGTGTAAAGGCATATTTACTTCTGTTGATGTTCCAAGGTGCTTTTAATCCAATTGCTTGTTTCTTGTTAGATGAAAAAGATGTCCCAAGTAAAATTGAATGTATATTAATTGATGGATGAAATAATTCCTTTGCTTCTTCCCCAATCCCACCCCAAATACATACACCAGCCTTGCTTATTTAATCTTTCTAATCATTTTCCTAGAATAATACATTTGGTCACTTTTTTTATTTCTTCATTGAAAAGTATCTAACTGGTGTCTATAAGTCTCACTTTTAACTTTTAATTGGAGCTTGGGTCTTCTTAAAAGTAAAAATGTAAAATAAAAATCAAAAGCAAGTGGGCAGCATATCAAGATTATAATTGTAAAACTGATTCTATTTCATTTGAATCAACTACTATCAATTTATGGCAAATAAATATGACCATGCCAAGGACAACAATTAGACTTTTCAGAGGTAGTGTAATGATGAAGTGTTGGAGTTGAATTAAGGTGGCCAAGAGGGTGTGGGTATGTTTTTTTTAAAAAAAGTCGAATGATGATGATGATACAATCAAAGCCATGCCTGTTTTGTGTGTGTTGCACATGAGATACATAAAGAAATTAGGCAGGCTTTGATTACTCTGTTGTGGCTGCCATCTTGAATTTTTTTCTACACTCCATGAACACCACTGAAGGTAACTTAAGTTTAAATCAACATGTAGTCATAGAAACTCAGTGGTCATTCTGGATAAGCAGACACTTCTTCAAAGCACTAAGCTGCACTTACCCCTTATTTTTATTATAAAAAAAGTCAAAGACAGATATAGATATAGCTGATATAGATACGATGGTGCTTTGCTGCAAGTAGCTTCTCATTCTTCAGAATTTGAAATGCATATATTTTTAAAAGTCATGGGGTAGACAGTCTGGAAGTGGCAAAAGAAGACCATCAAAACATGGGTATCCACACATACTCCATTGCCTACATTGTATCTCCATTGTTAGTCATTTGCAAGGATAACAGAGTCCATAAAACAAAAATGGTTGTTTAGGTGCCACAGTGCCAGGACAGGGCCCCAGACATCATGTGTGGTGTCCACATATATTCTTATGCCTCCATTTTATCTCCATGGTTAGTCATTTGCAAGAATAACAGAGTCCACAATACAAATGCAGTAATACCAACTTTGAAAAGTGCTTTAATCAATATAAATAAATTACATAGGTTCTCACTGAACAAAGTAAATTTTCATAATCATTTACATTGTACAATTATCTAAAATAAATGTCTCTTTCATTTAAAATATTGTGCAAAAGTATTTAGACACAACTGAATGCTGTCAATTCAGATTATTTGCATAAAATATTGCCTTTTGTGTCTTGTTTCAAAAAAATATATTCCTGACATGCTTACATGCCAGCACTCAACAGGAGCCTAGGAGTTGCATCCTGGAAACTTATTGACTGCAGCTAGAAAAGTTTCCTATGGAAGACAGAATGTCTTCATATTCACAGATGATTTTCTGGCAATACAATCTGATTATCTTGTAAAGGAAACCTTTATTAGACTATGGTGACAAAAATCAGAAGGAGTTTGGTAGCACCTTTTCCAACTAAAACATTTTATTAAAAGACAGAAGCTTTCTTGGCTGCAGCTCACTTCATCAGATGTGCAGAGTGGCTAAATTGATATATAAATTGGGGTAAGGCAGGCCAAAAGATACTACAGTATTCCTTCTATTCACAGTAGTCGACAGTTGGGCAGCATGTAAGTTTATTCAATTATTATCTATGTCTTTATTTATAACTAAACTTCCATACACTTATGAAATTTAAATATTCTGAAATAAAGGTGTTTAAAACACAGGCAAAAATAGTCTCTATAGAAAAATATGCATAACAAGGTTAATAATGAACTGTCTGCTCCTTTCAAGTAAGCAATTTTAAAAAGAACAATTTTGGAACAAAATAAAGTACCTTTTCTAAATCATAAGGGGGAGCTCCAAAGCAATTTGAAAAGTACAGTATCACATTTCTATGCAGAAGTCAAATGCAAATCTCTGAAATGTAAGAATCTGGAGCAGCCACCAACTACATACCCCAAGGTTCAAATATTGAAGGCACTTCCACATATTTTAACTTGCTTAAAATGAGGTTAGATGGTTTTCTTTCTCCATCTTTTCATTTTTCAATGATGTTATAAAACTATCCACAGAGTTAACTGTTAATATAATAAACCCATATTCTCAAAAAAATATTGAGAACATATGTAACCGTTATAAAATCACTTATCACACTACAGTGACTAGTATACATTAAGCATTGGAAAAGGAAATTCCAATCTTTTTATAAATTTTCTTTAAAGTAATAAAACCATTTTGCCATACACACACTTACACACATGAAGAGAGAGAGTGGGGTTGATTAAGTTATAGTTGCTTTCCCTGATCTAGTATCTTGCTTACATGTTGCAGTTAGAACTCTCAATAGCTGATTTGCTATTGACAATCCAAACAATTCTCAGATAACAGTATGAAACAGAACAAATAGATGAGCACTATAGCAGTGTAGTATGTACTCCATGCTTCATAAATGTAAATAAAAATGGTCTCTCATGATACTTGCATCCAGAGATTTCTTATAAATATAGGCCAAAATGTCACTTAGCGTTTATGAATCAAGGGAATACTTGAAATGCTATGAGTGCTGAAATTAATATGTCAGTGCTGAAAGACTTAGTCACAGCCCATCAAGTCCTTGGAAATGGCCCAAGACCCATTTTGAATAGAGCTGGTGAACTGCAGTTTCGATTGCTGAGTGTGGTGAAACAGTAACTGGCTCAGTGTGGGCTACTTCCATTGTCCTTAGTTAGCTGAGTTGATTAGATCTGTCTCAGTTTTAATACCAGCTTTAGGGCAAGTCTTAGGGCTGTAACCTAGCAATAGCTTAATCTGTTATTTGTACGTCCAGATGATTAAATTGGCCATAATAATCCTTGACTTCTTCTTGATTGATTAAATGGATCAATTGTTAAAGGAAGTGATACATATCTCTTTGCAAGAGGAAGTAATAATGCTTTGCAACTTTAGGCAGGTGTGAATGGTACTAATTTTCGACATCTGTATAAATTAGCCTTTCAGTTGGTCATAATAAGGAAACTACACTAGTTCCCTTGGTAGATGACTTATGTCAGAAGTTGAAAGGAAATAGTATAAACTCTGACAGACTTCTTGGATCTCATGATATCCTTTTAGCTGCCTGGCAGGACTGGCCATGAAGGCATCATTTTATAATAGCTCTATCAGGCCATGAACAGAATTTAGTGTTGGGGGACTACGGTTCAGTACCAGAGCTGACAATCTCTGATAATCCTCAGGGTTCTATCTTGGGAAATTTCAGCTGAAATTTTCAAAGAGGGTGTCATGCTGACAAACCTAAAACATCCTCATCTATCTCACTCAACTCCAAGGATACAAGAGAGTTGGATGAGGAAAAATATGCTGAAATAAAACTTAGAGGACATGGTGATATTGTTGGTAAGTAGGAAAATTTATGTGGGAGTTGAGATTCAGCATCTTTCAGATGGAATTCACTTCCCATGGGGGGGGAATGGTTTTCTATCTGAGAATGGTCCTTGATTCTCAGCTATCGTTGGATTCATACATCGTAGCTGAGGTAAATAGCACTTCTGAATAATTACACCTAATACATCAGCTGGGACTTGTTTTGAACCAATCAGATTTAATGATGACTATCCATGCCTTGATTATATCCTATCGTGACTATCCCCATATACTTAATGTGGGCCTACCTCTGAAAAATATGCAGAAATTGCATTTGGAGCAAAAAAGCTCTGACAACTAGGCTGTTCTGGTATATGCTTCAAGCTTTATATGATATCTATATCAAAATATCTGTACAGGGCCAGTTGTTTGTTACTAGAAACAATTTAAAGTAACAGAATAACAGAGTTGAAAGGGACCTTGGGGGTCTTCTAATCCAACACCCCAAAGTGTCGGCATTGATCCCCCAAATCCTAAAGAACTTAGGATCTCACTATCTGAAGGACTGCTCTTCTGAAAATGAGCTTTAAAAGACCAATTTGTTTAGCTTGTAAAATTGGATCTCCCTTCTGTGTTGTTTCCACATTATACAGTGTATTTCCTTGGGAATAATACCTGGTCTCCACTCTTTCAGTATTTAGAAAATTAATTGTTCAATGGTTTAAGTGCACAAGCTAGGTTTAATTTTAATAAATGTTTTTAATCTTGGGCAAGCTGGTATTTTGAGGTGGGGACATTAATTTTGAAAGCTGCCTTTGAGTACTTACCAGAGTAGAAATAGGAAAGTAAATAAAATACATAAAGGCATAATTTTAAAATGTATTAATGTGAAAAAAATATTAACTACTTGATTAGTAGTCATGTTAACAGATTTAATTTTATTTAATTTTATTTTTATCCTGGCCCATAATCTTCTCAGAGTACTGAATCCTAACAGGTAAAGATGGTGGCACTCAGACTGAAAGACTGAGCTTGCCCATTACAGGCCAAAATTGAAGACACTGTTTCTTATCAAAGTACTTTCATATCCCATGGAAATCTTTATTTTCCTACAACCAATTAAATGAGTTTCTAAATATGACTTTTTGGTTAAAACATTTAGACATTTTACACCAGAGGTCCCCAACCTTTTGGGCACCAGGGACTGATTCCGTGGACAGAGGTTTTTCCACAAACTGGAGGGTGCATGGTTTTGTGTACTGCCTGCATCCCGTGGATAGGGCTTTGCTTGTTTGTGTGGACCAGTTGCTGGCATGCTGCGGCCCACAGACCGGAGGTTGGGGACCCCTGTTCTATGCTACAAAAATCATACTATTCTCTTGAGAGAGAAAAAGGTTTCATGTGACTGAGGTGCACTTGAAGTAAAATGGGTTTAAAGTAAAAGTGTATTTATTTTTTTAAAAAGAATTAAATGACTTGCTCAGAGTCCTCCAGTGCTGGTACTCAGAAGTTACAGCTGCCATTGGACATCACTGAGATTTTTTCTTTGACTTTCTCTTGAAAGAATAGTTCCTCCTCGTTTAAAGACGTACTGAAGTGCTTGTTTGATCTTGTGTTTTCGAATCTGCAATAATATCTGGGGGAGGCTTATATAACACATATGCTGTGATAGTAAAAATTAGAGAAACTGCTTTGGAACAGCCACCTGCAAAAATAAATTAAGCAAAAATTAAATTAAACATCACTATTTATTTATCATCTTGCTTTAAAAGGAAAAAAAAAACACAAACTTCAAAGCAGTAATTATACAGCAACAATAGATTTCTATATGTATCATTATAACATGACAATAGGGTTGGACCTGCACTGCTTAAAAGTCTGAAAAAACAAAATTTGCACATTATATAGGAGCTCCCATGTTCTGATCTCTGCCAGTTAACGCTTTTCTTTGATTAAAACTGCTGAACTGGTATTTGATCCATTCAGCCTGTAATTAATATTAAATTGGTTCAATGTAAGTTTCAAATAACTTTGGTTATAGGCTTGAATTGGTTCACCTAGACAACTTATGAGGTGATCCCTACTATAAATAGCTCTCAACTTAGTACCGTAATGGAATTTTCCCATTACAGTCATAAGTAAATGTAGTCATTAAGTGAGGTGCCCACATGATTACCTTGCTCAATGATCACTAATGTGGCCTTCCAAGGTGCGATCATTAAGTGACTGTGCAGGTCATTAAATCAATGGAGCAAAAGATCTGCCTACCAAAAAAGGGCAGGCAGCTCCGTTCCATGCACAGAAGGAAATTACTTCTCCTCTCCATGCATGATTGGCTGGGGAATTCTGGGAATTGAAGTCCACATATCTTAATGTTGGCAAGGTTGAGAAACACTGTTTTAGATATTGAAGATCAAAAAAACACTGACTGTTTTAACACATATTTTGTTTATATACCAAATCAAAGGAATGAGAGAATGAAGTAAATTATAAAAATATAAACTGATCCCTTCAGCATATTTTCATCATTTTTAAGGAAAACAAATATACTTACTTATACCAAATAGCAAATATGCCATTTTGTTGTTGTTATAGGTCCAACATGCTCCTTTACGTCCACATTTATCTACAGACCAGAGAGTGCAAGAATCGTCTATTGAGATACCAAAAAGTATCGGGCCAGGAATAGTGCCTGCATAAGATGGAGTGACACAAAATTATATGAAAATACCAGCTACAGATGACTGAAACTATAAAATAGAAAATAAGGATCTAGAGACATTTAGAAATGTTAATGGGCAAATGAACTCAACAAGAAGGCCCTTGCTAAAACTGCAGACAAATCATTTAGTTCATTTTTGAATAAATCTTTATTCCTTTAAGTTAGCTAGTTTTAGTTCTACCCCCACAGGATTTCATAGGAGCTAAAATCTCTGAAAAATCTTCAAAGTGGCTATAAATCTTTAAGATGTTGGTGATCTCATTCCTAGGTTTAGCAAATTCACATCAACAAAAAGTAACTTTTCATGTGGTCTCACATAAAATTGTCAACATTGCAAGTAAGGAGATGATTTTGTGGATACTTGGACATCTCTTTATAGTTTTAAAGCTCATTATTAGGGAATGGAGTCTAGGGATTAATTAGGGTTGAATGAATCCTTGATGCTTCCTTAGCCACTGATGTTCCTCAGGAATTACCTATACAGGTTTTCTGATGCACAGTCTCTTTTTATGGAAAGCAGGTTTTCCTGAATTGTGAAATGTGTTTTCCTGGCTGCAGTTTGTTTCATAAAAGCTTTGTAACTACCAGTGATTCCTTACTTGACCTTTTCAATCCTATTCAGAAAATAGATCAGTTTCCTTTTAGAAAATGCTATCTTTTTCAGTTAGGTCAAGACCTAGAATCTGTTCTCCTGTTTAACTTTCTCTTCTTCTTCAAGAAAATGTGACAGAAATGATGCCAGCAATCCCTTTGCAGCCTCTGTGCATAGTTTCACTTATCCAGTTTCTTGGCCAAGAAATAAGTTAACATAGCAACATGATTTTGGGGAGATTAGAGAAAGCTGTATAGGCTTTTGTGGCTTGCTTTGGAGAAGGAGAGGATGTGACTAAGACCACTTACAAAAAGAAGTCTTTGAAAATAAAGAATGCATGCTATCGGATTATTTTGCAGTAAATTATATTGTATAGCTTGACATTTTATTAAAGGGAGCAAAATGAGAAGCAGAATCTATTTGGGGGATGAGAAAAACTATTTTTCTGTTTTTAGAAGCCTTGTATAAAGCAATGCATAGGAAAAAAAATGGAAACTTGAGCTGAAAGTTCTCAATGAAGATTTTTTTGTCAAATTTATGATGGTCAAAGCAACCAGGAAGGGATGGATTTCCACTAATAATAGTGCAAAACTGGAATAGTTTTCTCTCTACTATAATCCTAATAGTACCTAGTAGATCAGAACAATGATAATATTGTAATACACTATTACTCATGTGTACTTTGAAGAAAAAAAATGACAGCCAACGGCCTTTGGAAGAACTGTCTAGTTTAATGAAGAGAAGGACGAGGGGGGACATGATAGCAGTGTTCCAATATCTCAGGGGCTGCCACAAAGAAGAGGGAGTCAAGCTATTTTCCAAGGCAACTGAAGGCAGGACAAGAAGAAATGGGTGGAAACTAATCAAGGAGAGAAGCAACCTAGAACTAAGGAGAAACTTCCTGACAGTTAGAACAATTAACCAGTGGAACAACCTGCCTCCAGAAGCGGTGAATGCTCCAACACTGGAAGTTTTTAAGTAGAGACTGGACAGCCATTTGTCCGAAATGGTATAGAGTTTCCTGCCTGAGCAGGGCGTTGGACTAGATGACCTCCAAGGTCCCTTCCAACTTTACTATTATTATTATTATTATTATTATTATTATTATTATTATTATTATTATTATTATTATTATTATTATTATTATTATTATTATTATTACTCTCAGGTTTTGGGTCAAATTTGTCTGCCCCTTAAATCTATAGTCCTTAGACTGACAATATTATTCCTACCATGAATTTTTTTTGTCACGTTTTAAACTTACCTAATATTCGTAGAAAGAGCATATGAACACCCAAAGCAAATGATCTGTGATTTTCTGGCACACATCTGTAAATAAAAGTTTGTTTCACCATTTAATATGATATATACCACCCTTCAACAGATACTATGATATGATTGCTATTATTTTAACTGTGCAGTGTATTTCTTGAAAAGGCAAGGTTAAAATAGAAGACAAAACTAATACTGTAAGTTATTAAACATGTAAATAGTAATTCAAGAAAATGTTAACATAGTGACTTTCCAGTCATTTTTCTTCTGTTCACTGTCATTGGAAATCATTTTTTCTATTTACTTCTTTATACTTAAATTTTAAAAATGCTTTTAAAAAAACAATAAACAATTTTCATACTACACAAGAGTTCTGTAAAACAACACATGGACACAGACATCTAGGGATATATGAATAGGCCCAGAGGAAATGGTAGAATAAAAATTAGAAATAACAAAATTGACTAAATGTGCACCATGATGTATATCATGACACAAACTTTACCCACTATGAATGTGCTTAAGATGCTGTAATACAATTATAAAAGGGTAGGACAGGACGTCTGTCATAACAGTACAACATATATTGTTTTGCCATCACTTGTGGTAAGAAATGGATGTCTCCTCTGAGGTGTTTTGACTATTTAGGCTGCCAGCATGAATTCCAAGCAGAAATTCATTATAATTGTTCAACCAATAATTGTTGAATATATCCATGTAACAAGAAAGAAGAAAACCATTGCATCTACTCTATTTCAAAATCTCCATCTCAATGGATTAAAAGAAAAATTGTCTTCAGGGGAAATCATCATAGAGACAATATGCAAGAAACATTATCCTGGCAGTTAGAACAATTAATCAGTGTAACAACTTGCCTCCACAAGTTGTGGGTGTTCCAACACTGAAGGTTTTTAAGAAGAGATTGGACAACCATTTGTCTCAAATGGTATTGTGTTTCCTGCTTGAGCAGGGTGTTGGACTAGAAGACCTCCAAGGTCTCTTCCAATTCTATTATTCTGTTATTCTATTATTCTTTTTGGTTACATTTTAACTCTTAGCTGTAGTCAGAAATTAGTATCTTGTTTGAATATATTCAGCTGAATATTTCAAACAGCTGGACATCCCAGGACTTTTGTGGAGATCTACTGCTGATTCCTGTACCCTTGAATACTTTCCTCAATGCTAGGTTGCCAATTTAATTTCCCAGAATGCCCTAGCACCAGGAATCAGATTCAGGTTTTCTCATATGCATATTATAGAAATCATTTTCTCACTGTACAAATAGTTTGGTGTGTTTGCAAAATGATGGTGGAAGAAACAAGTTCATTCTTTTAAAATAAATTCCTATACTGTATTGCATTTTACAATATTTAACACAGGATAAAAGCAGCATTATAACTACCTGAGAATGGCCACAGTTGTTGGTGTAACTGCCATAAAAGTAAAAACAACCGCAAAAAAGAAGAAGCTAAGGAACCAAGGCAGGACTTTGCATTTAGATTTACATTTTCCAGACGTGGCCCCATGGAAGGTATTCTGAATTTCAACTATGGGATTCATAACACAGGAACAATTGCTGTAGTGCTATAAATAGTACATTCAAAAATATAAATAAACAAAATAAGTAACTAATTTGTCCAAAATTAATTGAAAATTCATCTGACAGCAAAATAAATTGTTTTTGAAAAGTTAGATATACACAGACAAATATAGCAAGACTAAATAACAAACGATTCAGCCAGTTGTAAAATAAAAATTGTTCTTATAGCAACAGAATTATATTTCTAAATGTAAGTGGAACATTTGGTGATCATGGATCTACCTTCATATCAAAATATATTCAGCCAGTTCAATGGCCCTTAAATAAACCAATTGTACCACATCCAAATTTTAGGCATAACATCCGTTTCCAAATGAATCTTATCTTTAAAATCCAAATAGCTATTCTTCTGTTCTCTACTTTGCATTTACTTAAACAAAGAATATTAAGAATATATTAATTTCCTGGTGTTTTCTGAGCTTGGTTGTTTTCCTGCAGATATTTTGTTACCAGGTTACAGGAAAACAATTAAGTTTTGATAACACCAAGAAGCCAGCAGTTCAGCACTGAGTTATGGATTATTCTCAGCTATTGGAATTAAGAATATAGTAGGTAAGAAGTGAAATAAAATGTTGCAGTTCTTAATAATTGTTCTTATTCAGTGTTTAGTCCAGCTAGTCATGCCATTATTGAGGATAGATATTTCATTTATCTTCCTATGTTCTCTTCTTATTGTCTGGGTTTCCTATCTGTTTGTTTTATTTTTCCAAGTAGTCAAATTTAACTACTGACTTGCCCAAAGTTCAATGGACTGCTAACGATACTTTTAAACAAGACACATGTCTAAAGCATTTTTAACATTCATAACTTAGATCTGATGTAGAGTGAGCATCCTCTTTTATAACATAACATGGTCATACCTTCGTTCCATGCTTCTGAGGAACAATAGCAGTACATCCTGCATAACATGGAGAAAAATACTGGACTTCATCTGCACCACAGATGGGCAAAAAGTCTGAACGCAAACATCTACAATGGGCATTGCAGGGTGCTGTTAAGTTCGATAACATGCCTGTCCTGAAACAGAGAAATAATATATAGATGAAATAAAAAATAAACTTTCCATAATAGCATGTTTTTATTCATTAATAATCATGATCAATTGGAGCTAAATATTTCTAAATGTCCATGCAAGGATTTTTTTAAAATAAAAAATCTTATATTCTTCATTTTGTAAAGAAATGGGAGACCACTGAAGTTCATGGAGGTGGTTTCTAGGTAGCACATAAATTTTGGGCTCTAATGTGATTGTAGGTTGAGGACTACCTGTATTGACACAACCTTTGAAGACTTTGAGGACTGATGATAATTACCACCTGTTCAGCTTTGCCGTTACTTCGAATGGATGCTGAACGAAGGATTGTTAACTGAGCATTACCTGTAGTGTCATTGGGAGAATGAATGAGGACTAATTTACAAAACAAGCATGTGAATAAAAAGTGAAGGATTCACAAAGACAATAAGATCTGATGATGTACAATGAATAGTTGTAGTTGTTTTATTTGTCTTCTAGCTTGCCCTACTTTTTCTTATTTGTTTTCCATGCTTTGCATAATATCATTTTTACTATAAAGACAATGTGATGAAAATATATTATGTATGCTGTTTTCATCAACATCAATATGGGCAATTTTGATTTTATGTTTCATTATCTCTGAGATGTATAAAAATATAAAACACAAAATGAATTCTGAAGAATGTTTAATCAGCATCTTGTGTCCTATTATATATTTTAACATATACTTTTAATCATATACTTACCCATTATAAGTTTCAGAAACACCAGCAAATGGTTCATTCCCACATTTAGCAATTGCAAACACCAAGTTTAATAGCAGTGCCATAGTACAAGTAACAATAATAAACTTGATTATAGTTTTGCAATTCATTTGGAGCTTGGAAACTAAGGTACCACTAATGATTTGGCCAAGTGCTGCTCCTGGGATTAAGACAAGTCCTAAAAACAAAATAAAGGAAAAGAGTTATCAAAGTAATAATTTCACTTAAAATAAAACAATAAATATATTCACTACTAAAAAGAGAACTAAACATGGTTATTTTATTGTTATGGTAAACAGTCATTCTTTTACTTTTCTCTATCTTTGCATGTTTTGTTTTTATGAAATTATTATGAATAAAAAAAAGAAATGGGTGTGGAATGCTAATCTGTGAAAAAAATACATTTTCCTACAGTTACTTATATAGCTCTGGTCACATGAACAAGTTTAGCCTATCTATATGACTGAGACAATTAACCCAATTTCAAGATTTACAGTATATGACACACTGAACCATAAACTTAGCTCTCATACTGTGTTTGCACAACACACTGGGCTAAAAAGTGTTCAGTTGTCCAGTTTATAGTTCAATGATTTTTTGCAAATACAGTTACTATGGTGCTCCACATTAACAAGAGAGGGCTTTTAATTACATGTGGAATTAGATGTTAAGAGGAATAAAAATACATGCACCAATATCTTCACTGTTAAATAATCTCTAAATACTTATTAAATTTATATTTCAGAGTTTATGGGTTTTATTACCACAAATAAATTTTATTTTTGCTCTCCATGTGCTTGGCTACTAAAGTTTCATTTCATATAATGATGCCAGTTCACTTAACTGATTGTGTCATGAGATATACATGTGTAAATCAGCTATCAGACATAAAATACCAAAGGTTGTACAACTCTGATCCTCTGTGATCACGTCTGTACTTCTTCCCTGCCTGGTATGTTCTCTCACTCAATAACATGTTCCTGATTTTAAGTACAACAAAGCAGGTGGAAACAGCAGCTGGAGGCAATTCCAGGCTCTTTACCTTCCATTCAAGATGGCATCCCAGTAAAGCAATTATTAATCAAAGATCTCAAACAATTAACACAGCACTGAAATGCCATTTTACAGAAAGCTTTTTGGTTTCTTCAGGTACTCAAAAAAGATCAGCTGGTGGTTCGCAAAACCAGATATGAAAAGATGGGTTATTGTCATAAATAACCATTTGTTTTATTCAATATTATTATTATTTTGCAGATGGAAATACCTAAAGTGGATTTATGCATCCTAATTACTATCAAACCTGGTTTTCCTTAAATCTACAGTTCTTTTTGTCAACCTTATCAGAGGTATGTTATTCATTTGTACATTGTAACCTGATGTGCAAAATAAGTGTGCTAAATCTTGCACTTTTTGCTTTACAATGCTAAAAATTATTTGCAAAAATAAATGTACACACTCCCAAATTTTGTCAATAACAATAACAATAACAGCAGCAGCAGCATATGGTGTTGTCACATTAGCTAGGAGACCACAGTACTGTTGTAGAGTAGTAGTCTGGTTACTACCACCCGAAAGAAAGACAAGTGGCTCTTCCTACAGTGTCACCAAAGGCCCCCTTCCCTTCCCTGGAGCCCCCTTTCAAACAGTCATCACAACCAGGAAGGTTCAAGAGCCAGCAAAAATCTGACTGTCTGCATGGACCACCAGCTCTTTTCCCCAATGAAGTGGTAAAGTGAGATGTATTTCTTTGTGGGAAGCCAATCCAAATAGAAGCCACAACAATTTATGTTGCATTCTAAGAGACACTACCTTTCTATCTTTCTATCTTATACTGATTTGAGTTGATCTGCTTAGCAGTTTCTGACTTTTTTTTTTAGAGACTGCATCCTTTTCCCAATTTGATTACCATAAATGGAAAGGCAAGCTTGGAAATAAATATTTAAACTAATTCAGAAAAACCTGTTATAACCATAAAGCAAAAACCAAATCTGAAATTGTTAGGGCCTATTTAAAACATTCTATCAACTGAGGATCCAGGCTTCTTTCACTCCCCACCCTGAGTCAGTGCCCCTCAAGGGACAATAACCTAAAGAACAGAAAATATTGCTTGGATTCCCAAATTATTCTGATTAATTTATCAAAGAAAACAAATTTTACCATACATAAAATTCACAGAATTCAATAGGATATTTTCTACTAAAACTCTTAAAACTCCAGCCTTTCTTTTCATAGTCTAGTTTTCCTTTTTTCCAAGTAATAAATCCCATCATTAACCAAATTAAAAGGGTGTTTGTGTATAATGAAGCAAATACATTACCTCCTAAGGTAGCTGAATAGCTAGATGTAAATCCAAACTGATTTTCTATAAATTTAGGCAAGAAAGTTGCAAAACCAGTAGCGACTAAAGCTTCTAATGCAGCTGCTATTACAAGATACATCAACACGGGATTCCTCAGCAGCATCTAGAAGAGGAGGTTTGGTTAAGTTCTCCCTACATATTTTAGTTAGACTTCTTAAATCAATGTTATGTTGCATACATAGTACCTGCTCAGATTATTCCACAAAGAAATTTATCTATTTTTTTCAGAATAAATGTTCATTATAACATTAGTTTTGCTGTTTTTTCAATCTCTCATTTAAAAACTGTTAGAAAAAGAAGGGCACATTAAGAAGAAGAAAAAATGTTCTTAGTGGACTTTTTGGCCAGAAGACTCCAGATCTAGCTATTATAATGCTGATTTATCCAATTATTTGAATCTATATCCTGAGCTTCAGCTAGTCAAATTTGGTTTGAGATTTGGAATTCATTTAAACCAATTGGAAAAGCCTCCTAGAACTAATATTTATCCCATTTTCATATGACTACCTTGAATATATTTATAAGCCTGAATAAACTTTAGAAACATTCTGTTCTTTAAAAAACCAACAAAAATAATCTCTCCTGCTAATCAACTATCCCTTTTGTTGATTTTCGGCATATCTGAGCCATTATGTTGGCTTCCCTAATCCTGTCAAGAGATAAAGATGCCAAATGAAAGAATAATGCCTAATCTTGGCTTTTGCACAAGTTAGCAAAGGGTGACCAAATAGAGGCAGAAAAAGACAGGGTTTCTGATTGAAACACTACAGAGACAGCACCAACCCTCACTAACCCACGCAAGTCCCCGCCCACAACAGCAGTTCACCTCCTAATGACCTTGACCTGATGTAACTTCCCTATCACAACACCCATCACAAGATTCTCACTGATGACTCACACCTGACCCATCACAAGACCCATCACAAGACACTCACTTGATAAACCCACATCTGAAACCCTTATAAACAGAACACTGACATTGACATCCCCTAAACTCTGCTGAAGATGTTACCTAGTCTGGTGGTAATGAAATGTTCACAAATCAACCCAAAAGCTCAGAGAATGGAACCTTCACTCTCATCCTACACCCGAGCTACAGATATTTGCCACTATTGCAAACACTACAGTTTAGCCAAGTTTTTCTTAGCATCCATGACAATAATTCCGCACAAATGCACAGACATACATATATACAAAGAATTGCATTAGCTCAATATTTTGCTATTCTTCCTTCCTTTTCTGTTTGGTTTTAAAAATTCAGCAGGTCGTGGGTTTTAGATCTATCACTGTCTTGACGAATCTCTTAGAACAGAGTGTCAACTGTTTCATCACACAAGGTGGTTGCTTCAGAATTCAAATATTGAAATGTGTAGAAATCTAGTTCACAGGGCACAAATATGTTGTAGCAGGTTTCTTTTTATAAGCATACCAAGAGTTTGGCTGGATTGACACCGGTGCATGCATGAAAACAAAGAAAAACGTTGGTTATTCCCTCATCTAGTCACAGCATATGGACTGAGCCAGGATATCATATTAGGTGGAATTACCCCCTTGTAATAGCTTAGTAAGATTAAGATATCATCGCCTGGTTTTCTTGAACAGAAGCTTTAACTGGCATCAGTTGCAGTAAGAAATCATCATGATGGTGTCAACTTCTTTCTGCTTGTGCTGAAGAAAACAGCCAACACAGCAAATGGCTATGATTTCTCTCAAGGTTTGCAGGGGCATGGAAGGGAATGAGATGAAACTGTTAACCTCATCCCTTAGCTTGTACTTAATTTTAAAATCATTTAATTTAGTATCGAACTGGCCCTCAAAAAGTTGTGAAAACAAACATTATTAGCTACTGATGAGCGGCCATAAACTGGAAAATAGGATAGTGACAGACAATTACAGCTGTTAATGTAATCTGCAAAGATATACTGGGTAATAAAAGTTATTATTCATGGTTAATATGTTTATCATTTTTTATTATGCTTTGTTTTCAAATAATGTGTCTCGGTGATCAAATGTCCATTTAAAATCAAAGAATAATTTAATTTTAATGCTGCAAGACATCTTGCGGGTGGGGGGAGGATATTTAGTTTCATCTTTGACTTAAAGCACCATTTACAGTTCAGGAATCTTGCAACATGCCATCCTTAAATAAAGATGGTCTTTATTTAAATGCCTTGCAACTTTCTGAGGCAATTTATTCCTCTCCAACTAGATCTTTCCATTAGGAATGTGCTCTAATGAAGAACAACTATATTCCCAATGCCGACTCCTCTGGCACATACCAGAAGCTTTGGCCTCATGTTTTGATTTGGTTTTAGATGCTTTATTTTTTTTTAAAGAAAAAGAACAAATTATATCTGCAAGTAAACTCTCAGGTTCTAGCATCATTTTGATTTCCAAAAATACTTCTCAACCTCGTATTAGCCCTATAGGCATGCTTAAGAAATAAGAATGGATGACTGAAACACCTCAGTGCTTTGTTTGGAAGTGTGACTACTCCCCTGAAAAAAAATATATATAAAGATTTTGAGTTGATAGGGTTTGATCTGTGGGATGACAGATAATGGGAAACAATCTCACCAGAGCTTTGTTCTTTTCTTTTTCTTTCTTTTGTTTTCTTTTTTGTAGTTAATGAGTATTTTGTGATGGGATACATCACTGTTGCAGCTGTTTTTTATAGCACACATATGTTGCTGAAAATCCAAACATCTATCAACTCAAAAGAAGTGTCTGTCCCCAGGCAGGAAACTTGTGCTTAAACTTTTCAAACAGAAGGAATTTGCATCCTCCTCAATAATCCGTGCCACAAATAGGCCTTGCTGTTGGGAATTTCTTCTTAACATTTTGCCAAATCTTCCATATTAGTTCCATTCATTGGTTTTAGAGCTCACTTCTGGAATCATATAAACAACTCTGTTCCATCTTGTGCATGAAAGGTCTTCGGAGATTTGAAGGCCACTATCATGTATCCCTTAATCTTCTCTATTTAAGTTTCACCAGTTTGTCATAGATTTCATTATTTTGTTCGGCAATCACTTTTGCCTAAACCTCAGTTACACATGAAATATGACTGTGGGCTTGAATTATATACACACAAATACAAAGCCACCTTAAGACTTGAAGAAGCTTAGGAGCAGCATGTTCATTTCCTTCTCAAAGCATCTTACACTAATATAATTCTCCTTCCAGTCATTGCTCTTTGGCTATTAAAAATCAATATTCAAATAAGAGATAGTAGCATAGGTGAGGAAATCTATGCTACTGAAATTGATGTTTGATTCCGATGTCCCTTTGATTGTCCGTTTGCAGCTGGGGAAGGCAGAATTAATAATTATGTATAGTTTAATGAAAAGAAGGACTGGGGGTGACATGATAGCAATGTTCTAATATCTGAGGGGCTCCACAAAGAAAAGGGGGTCAATTTATTTTCCAAAGCACCTGAAGGCAGGACAAGAAGCAATGGATGGAAACTAATCAAGGAGAGAAGCAAACTAGAACTAAGGAGAAATTTCCTGACAGTGAGAACAATGGATCAGTGGAACGGGGTTTTCTCCAGAAGTGTCAATGGTCCAACATTGGAAGTTTTTAATAAGACAACCAGAATGTTATAGGGTCTCCTAGAGCAGGGGGTTGGACTGGAAGACCTCCAAGGTCTCTTTCAACCCTGTTATTCTATGTTTTATGAGACTATAACATTGTATTGGTTTGAATGTAAAGTACTGACTGATCTAACCATTTCAGACATTGATTAATGCTATTAAGCTTGTTGCATTCTGTTAATGAGGACTTGCAAATATTATTGACACAATGAAACCCAAATGTGGCCAGGTTTAAATTAACTACAGATATTGATTTGAATGTGTTGCTTTTGTTACCCAGAGAATCATAAGAAAGTCCTTAATACTCTTCCCAGTATATTCACAGGTCTGTTTTCCATTATGATGTGCTTCAGAAATCTTCTCTGCTCGTATTTTGCTTGTACCTAGAAGAAGAAATAATTTACTTTTGACAAAAGGCAATTGTAATTACAAGATGTACACACATTTTGTGGAAATCAGCTGTAATTTTAATTTCAGTAAATTTGTCTGCTTGGCCACAAATCTGTATTCTTTATGATTTCAAAATCATCTTTCTGTCAGATATTTCCCACTTAAAATAGTTTCATCCTCTTGAAGAGGATGCAATAACAAGGTTACCAGACTTGTAACAAAAGAGTTACCATGGGGCAAGATGGGCAGCTAAATAAAAGGAAGACATTCTTCCTTTTTGTCTTCATGTCCTTTGTCGGACAAGCATAGCCTTAAAATTAAACATTGTCAGGCTTTTTAAGTATCTCTTCCATAGCAACTTTTCTCCATGGCACAAGTGCTTCCTTAATAAGTGCTAAGGGCAAGTTAAAAAGCTCTGTTCTGTGACCTTAATTAATTGAAGAGTACTTTTCAGCAAGCTTGCTCTGCTGCCAGAAATTGACAAGACTTTAATTATATACTGAAGGCTTTTGCCTCCTAACTGACTCTAATACATTTCTGCCATTGGAAAATCTGATACAAGAAAAAGTAAGATCCTATACATATACAATTAGGGGGTGTTGTTTTATATTATTATTTTATTTTTTGTAGATTTGCATTGTAATTTTTGTTTACAGATGGTAAGAAAATTAAGCAATTAGTGTGTCCTCCTTTTCACCCATTTGTCCTTCTTTCCAATTGTCTAAGTCCTCCTTTGCCTGTTCAGATCTCTGGTATGTTAAGGACAAATAGTTTCAGAAAATCAGTCTGTGGCATGAAGGTAAAAAGATATATAAGAAGATATTTAAGTTTGTTGAAAGCAGATTTTAGATTGGAATCATCATAAGTCATTATTATAAATGTTATAATAACATTCATTCCTACCAGCTGTAATGAAGTAGGATTGGCTAATATCCAAAAATGGGTTGAATTTCTCTCTCCCTGTTCAACCGGTTTTGTCTACTGAAAAGTAGAAATGGGGATTTCGAAACAAAGCTTTGCCTTTAAGAACTTTGATTTCATGCCACAGGAAAATTCTGCCTCGGCTCAAGACATCATGAAAGGACTTTTTCTCAGATCTTTTTGAAAGACTGATTCTTGTGATTTCTTTTTTCAAACATTGGTTAAAGAATAAGATATTTAAAAAGGATCTTCTCCTCAAAGATTGAAAGACTACCAAGTTTTTCCTCATATATCCCTATTTTTATTGCTATTCAATACATTCAATTTTTTCATCTTTGTTTTAGAAATAAGTCCACATCCAAATGATCAAAGTGTTTCTCTTAGCAATCATCTTCTCTTTTTTCTTTTTTCCCAATGTTCCTCATAAAATTACACTACTGCAGTAAGAATAATTTAAAACTGTGATGAGCTATATGAAAGTTGCAAATTCTAGAATATTTATTGCAGTAACCATATTTATTTATCAGAATATTTATTGCAGTACAATTCAACTATTCATTCATTCTGTACTATTTTAGACTATAACTTTAGGAATCCAAACAACTTATCTAAGGCTCAATATGTTACAGTATTCTAGTATTACACTAGTTCCTTATTTTAGAATACTTATTTACCTGGCAAATGCTTTGGGAAATATGAAAATGGTGCTACTAAAAGGCATGTAGAGAAGCTGCATATCACAAAGGCTATCCACCAAGCTCCAACCCAGCGTGGATCTTCTGGAGTGAGGTCTACACTAGAATAATATTATTTAATGAACACATATTTAAAGAAGGTGTTATGAATTAAATAACAATACCTTTTGCAAAGCTATTCTGTATGATAAAATGTACATTTTAGCTTATTTATTACAACTATGCTTCCTTCTTCCCACATTTATGCAGTTATACAAAAAGAATTACTGCTGTTTTACTAAATAAAAAAATGAATGTATTTCAGGTAGTAATGAGTTCAATCAAGTATTATTGTTCAGGATTATAGAAAGCTTGAAAGAGTGTTTTATTTCAAGGAAGATTCAAAAGTAGCACCACTTTATAATCATAGTAATATGAGCACCCTACTTATGAAGGTAAAGCAAAAGAGAACAGCATCTTTGCTGTCTTTTTTCTCCTCAGAGCTCAACGTACAAGAAAAGGCTTTGAGAAATCTACAACACTGACTGAAGTGCCTTTAGAATATGTAGCTTCACCACAAGTTGTGGGATTGATTACAGTGCACACTGAAGCTGCCCAGTCTGGAGCTACCTTAACATGTGTGAAAGGTCTTCCTTTTCCAGCCTAGAAGGACCTTAGTCAATACTGGAGAAAAGAAGGCTAAGAGGATCCTTCTCCCACAGCAGAGGCCCAAAGAGGCCTCAAGCAACCAGACTGCTTCAATGAAGTAAATTGGTTGGCCTTTCACAGCACAAATGGCTTCATGCATATCTCTTCACATAAACCCATTCTAAAGATAAAACGATCAAAATCTACATCTATCAAATTGACTAAAAATTGCTCATTACTCATTACTGCTCTGGTGTTCTAATCCAGGTTTCCCAAATACAAATCAGTAATTATTAAAAAAAAAAAAAAAAAAAAAAACCTCAACTCCCCTAACCAAACAAACCCATTAAAATTATTATAGGTAACAAAAATATATGTATTTCTGTATGAACTATTTGGAAAAGGCTTTTCAAAAAATGTATAGATGAAAAACAAAATGTCCTTGCCTTATATTACGATTGAAATCAACATAGATATTCAGCAACTGTCCTCCTAAAACATAGCCAATGGCAGGACCCAGCAATGACATGGCATATCCAATTCCTGAAGGGAAGATAATAGTTTGCATTTTGGAAATTGAGCACAAAAATGCATGTTGGATCCCATATCCACTGTATAAATGTGTAAGGTGATAAAAGATTGAGAATGTTAAGTTCATGCATCCTAAGTAGGTTACCCTAGGGAAGACACTGTTTAGAGTCAGAGGAGGGTGGCCCAGCTTCCAGATGGTTCTTCTTCCCAGCATACCATCTCATTTAAAATGCATTAAACATATAGCTAAAGACAATTGATGCAACTTATCTTCATCACATAAATGTAATTATGGTACATTCCAGACATTAAGTTCAACCTAATGCTAGTCTGAACCCTGGTATAGGGTCTTCTGCTTGAGCAGGGGGTTGAACTAGAAGATCTCCAAGATATCTTCCAACTCTATTATTCTGTATTCTGTAGTCATTAAGAAAATGTTCGGAGACTGAAAGGTGGGATATAAATATCTCAGATTAAATCTACCTATCAATTCCTAATGAATCATCAGGGGAATGCTTCTCCATTTACCAATCGTGTCATGAGCTCTTGTTGACACCTGATCCTCATCTGAAGGATAACTCCAAAAATGCCAGATACTGTTCAGGGGAAAGAGATTATTTGGGTTAATGAACTTCTTTCAGATTCTGTGCATCCTTTGCCAGAAGGAGATAAAAATGCAGAAAGACTTCCTTCAGCTCACCTTCTGGGGTGGAATGCACAATATTCTTAGTGAAGAAGAATGGACTTCCCAAAGCTTCCAACTTCCTCTAGAAGGCAATAACTCAGAATATACTGAAGGGACTGAGACTTCCTTCTCTTTCACAATTTTTTCCACCTTTTCTGACTGCCTTAATAGACCACCAAAAATTTGCTTTCTGCTGCATGGGAAATTTTCCATGGGTCTGCATTAATGAATGATGGGTCTAGTTGTCACAGTTGATACATTTGTTATTCTTGCTGGTTATTCATTTGTAGTATTCACATGCTGTTATTCTATGGTTAAAATGATTATGAGGCTGGTTGCGGCTAGGCAAGAGAAAGGGAAACCAAGGTCAACACTGCAGGAGCACAGTATCTGGTTCTTATCTACTGATTTGCACAGATGAGAAGGAGCAACTGAAATGTGACAAGGAATTCTTCCAGGCTCCCAAAATAGGATCTAAGTGCCACTCCACTCACCAGAAACTATAATCCCAGTGCAAGTATTAAACTAAATGCTTGTGGTTTGAAGTGGGTAAGCAGCATCCTCAAACATGACAGCTTTAATTCTTTGCATATTGAGCATATAAAGGTATGAAGTGGGAAGGTGTTCATAGATGAATGTTCAAATCACCTGGATGAGCATTTGGTTGGGAAATTCCCAATGTGGGTGGGCACTGACTTTTAAGTGTATTCAGTATAACATACTTACAAACACCCTTCAGGTCTTTGTGCTGATCATGAAAAGGGCTGAAACTCCCTTTCATAGGAACTTAAGGATAAGGTCATCCTCCAAATACCTGAAGATGAACATAGCCCTACTATAAGCAACTGTAAGCAAAAATACATCCTGTATGCCAACCAACTAAAAATCTTACAACCAGTTAAATAAGCAAATAGAAAATACAAAAAGATATTACCAAACTTGCTAGATGCTGAAGGCAAATTTGGCATTTCAAGAAATCAAAATGAATGTAACTTACCTATATAGACTGAAGCTTGGTGCTTTGGGACACTATCATCGATGAAAGTTGTGCCCAGTGTGTACAGAGGAGTTCCACCTGCTCCTAAGAGGAACTGACCCAGCAAGAAAACATAGAAGTAGTTGGAAAGTTTTGATCTGCTGCCAGGGCGGCAGGAGATGGTTTGGCCTCCAGAAAGAGGTACTGGACAGATGTCTGGAAATACAGGAGCAGTAAGTTAGTGGAACTTTTTTATTTGTTTCGAGAACCTGTCGTCTGTTTGCAATTGTTTGAAATAAGTCTACTGGGCCTAGGCTGTAAAAATCTAGCTAACAGCAACAAAGAGTTAAGAGTTTGTTATCTCTTTGCTGCCATCTAGTAGCTATCCAGATTTTCCAGAGTAATTATATAACCCACAATCAGAACAGTCATAAGATTTCAAAACTGCTCCAAAGTTTGAAAACGATATAGAGCCATTATTCAGACAATATGGGAAAAACCAACATGTAATAAGTTCATTTTCTGAGTAAGTCTTCTTTAATCTAGTGCTTCCAAATACACTGGGATTTCAAGTCCCCAAATTCTCAAAATGCTTAAGGACTGCTTGGGAATTTGGGAAAGACTGGTCATCCCTGAAGAATGATACTCAGAAGCCACTTCACTGAAACTACTGAGAATCTAACTTAGTTATATTCTGTTTTCATATAACTTAGGCAGCGATAGTGTGTTTAAGTATAATTCATTAATAAATCATAACTGACCAGATTCACTCAACTTGCTAAATTATAATCCATGATTTACAAACCACAATGCTTGTAAATCGTGTTTCCCTGTCATTTTAAATCAAAATCAATCAAAACATATTATGGCCTAACAATCCCAGTCGTGGGATTCAAATATGTGAACAACCGGTTCTCCGTGTGGATGCCGCTTCCGGAAGTCCATTCTGGGCCTGGGCAACAAAAAATTAGCTACCAGTTCTGCCAAAGTGGTGCGAACCGGCTGAATCCCACCATTGAACATAAGAGATAAGAGCAGTAACTAAACATAGCAAAACATTCTGTCACTTTAAAAGAAGCATCCCAGTTAGGATTCTACCCCACCATTTCCTTCTAATCTCAACATCCCACTCCTCAGATTTCCTGAATTCCATGTTTTTCCAGCTCTCTGCATTACTGAATATGTACAGACCTAATATGAAGATTGTTTTATATTACTGTTGTCTGGTTGCTGTAATGAAAATTTTGGAGTATTCTAAATGATGTTGATAATCCTTTGAGTTTTTCAGTGGTTCTGTGGTTACTTACTTTAGTGTCATTCAGTTTCCTCTTAGAGTTGCAATAATGACATACAGTAGAGGGCGCTGCTATTTAATACATCTGGAGAATGAAACTCATTCCTAAAACAAGGTGGGCCTAGCTAGATATTTTGTGACATTGTCTGGTTTTTGTTTTCTTTTTTTAATAAAGGAGAATGGTAATCAATTGCTTCAGTTTCAATTTTCAACTTGATCTTTGTTGCCAAATGTTTCATTATAATCAATAAACAATGCATACAATGGTAACCATGTTAACATAACGATGCCACATTTTTTTTTTCAAATAACAGGTCTATTATTATGGTGCACAAAATATCCATGGACCCTTATATTGTAAGAATCATCTATTGCAGAAAATAAGACACTTCTCATTCTTCTTGCTCACATATTCATACCACCAGGGAATAAATCGCTTAAAATCCAGGAAGAGCAACTGCTTTTATAGCTTTTGATCACTATACTTCTTCCCATATCTATGGCAAAATGTTTCTATCTGTATAAGAATAAAAAATTGACTGTCTTTGTCTTTCAAATTCAGCTTATAAACAGGCTTATGTCTTCCCTCCAGTCCTGTCTGCTGGAATTTATTTATATTGTCTCTTTCTGATAATGTGTTCATATTATTGTGGCTCTACCTCATTTCCAAAATTTCATATTTTTCCCCGTAACCTTTTCCAACCACCTTCTATCTCATTTGATCAGCTACATAAATCTAAAATATGAAAAAAGCTGTCTGGAGACATATGAGCATTCTTCCAGGCTAGTTTTTATATAACAGCAACTCAGGAGATTTTTAACCATAGTTTTTAAAACAAGCTACAGTGGATTGAATTATACACTGTGAAAAACTAAACCATGTTGCCCAAATCACAGGGTCTAGGTGGTTTAGTGTAATTTATGAAGCTAGCTTTAATCTTTCTCTTGCTGAAAGTCTCTTAAAAGTTCATTATACTTCCTTTTTTTCTATTTGGGTGCTTACTAACAGATCACCTTTAAACACTGAAATGTAATCAGCAGCCTGATGCTTATTGTATAAAATGGAAGAGAACAATTCAGCTCAGGGTTGAGCCCTGGAGTCCTTGGTGCACTCCAAGTCACTCTGGAGTCCTTGGTACTGATGATATTACCTAGTTGGGCAATGAAATGTCTGCAAACAAACAAACAAACTCAGAGTGCACCCAAATACTTCTAAGGGTAGTATTTAGAATGAACCAGTATTCCCAAGTCTTGCATAATAGCTCTTAGTTTATTTATTTCAATTTAATTCAAGTATTACACAGTGCTTCAGCAGACAAGGTTCTGAAAGCAAGGATGATATCTAAAAGGATGATACCTAAAACCCAGCATGATATCCTTTCAAAGGGCATAATGATCATGGAACTATTTGGCTAATGCTCTTTTCAACACCTATGCATCATCTTTTTCAGTACTCATTAACTCTCATTGCAATAAAGAGAAACAAGATTATGTTTGCCATTAACAGAATGAATCTTAGAAGGTAAGATTAGATATGATATCTTTAGCAATCCATTTGTAATAAAAACCAACAAAACCAATAAGAGCTATAATCTTCCATGGACTTTTACTTTCCATAGCCAGCTTTCATTGTAATAGAAAACAAAAATACATAGTTCTCAACTTACAACCACTTATTAGAACGAGAATTTCCATTACTATGCAGGGCAGTTGTTAAGTGAGTCACACTCAATGTTACAATCTTTAATGCTATGGTAATTAAACTAATCACTGCACTTGTTAAATGAATCAGGTAGTCATTAGGCAAATACATTTTTACCAATTGACTTTGCTTGTCAGAAGCCAGCTGAACCAGCTGAGAAGGTCATAAATGGCAGCTATTGGACATGTGTTTTGAGTAACTCCAATTTAAACAGTAGATAATTATTGCATATAGACATTTCCTTTGTATGTTATGAGATCCCCATGGCTGTAGTTCAAGTGATAGTTCTGATTATGTAATACTCTAATACAATTCCATGTGAATCTTATGTGACACTAAGATGTTAGTAAATGGTTAACATTAAACATAAAACCAATAAGATAAGAGCTATATACCTTGGAGCAGTCCATAAAATCCATATTAATGGATGGAAACTAATCAAGGAGAGAAGCAACCTAGAACAAATTTCCTAACGGCGAAAACATTGAACCAGTGGAATGCTTTGCCTTCAGAAATTGTGGGTGCTCCATCACTGAAGGCTTTTAAAAAGAGACTGGACAGCCACTTGTCTAAAATGGTAGAGGGTCTCCTGCTCGAGCAGACGGTTGGACTAGATCAGGGGTGTCAAACTGCCGGCCCACGGGCCGGATGTGTCATGAGGAAACTGCACCCACCTCATTGCCGGCAATGAGGAAAAAGTTCTGATACGTCACGAGTTTGACATGTCTGGATTAGATGAACTCTAAAATCCCTTCCAACTCTGTTATGTTCTATATTCTTAAACACCACTAGCAAGAAGCCAAAAATGTACTGCATGACTGAACAGCCTTAACAAACAAAATCAACAGAATATTTACAGTCCTGCACATGTAACTTATATTCAAACAAGCTTACATTCTATTCAACACCTACTGCCTCTGTGTTCAGCTGTTTTGTTTCTCTGAACTATACACTACATTTTACTTTTGCTGTTGTTTGAGGTATGGAAGAAGGAAGCTACGTAAGTTCCCCCAAATGAAGGAAAATGTTGAATTACACTTAGCACAGAACATCTCAGAGAAGTACTGGTTTAGATATAGACAGGTGTCTGTGTCTCTTTGTATATGTGTATGTGTTCAAGCACACTTACCTATTTATTAAACTGAATAATGAGGACTCAAGGCAAGTAGTTTTAAAACATTTCTAATCAGTATCCTCAACAGAAACCATTTTTCAGTAAACCTCCCTCTCAGAATTTCAACATTTGCTCAAGTCTAGTTCCTTTCATTTTCTTCTCATTTGCCATTTCCTTCTGAGAAGAAAATAGAATGAAGCACTCTAGTTAATGTATTTTTTTTTTATTTTTAAAACAGCTTCTGTGTTTGTTTTTTTCAAATCAGCAATGACAGTGTGTTAACCACACTTCTTAAGGATGAGAGTAATGAGGACACACCTCTTTGTTGCATAACTGCTATTTCCCTTCAAGACAGTTTCACTGGAAACAAATACAACAATAGAAGGCATTGGGTAATAACAGTTTCGCCCTTTCAGGAATTGCTCAGCAACTGGATGCTACAGCATTGCACTCCCAGATAACCTCTTTTGAAGTCCTTCTGATGAATTCGGTGTGCCAAGCCAAATTTCATTAGCAGGATGCAAAACAGATTTCGACTTACATTTCAAAAAGGGACCAGTTGGGCAACTACTTGTATTACTCGAACCACTACAGTGTTTCCTCAACTATGCTACTAGGAATATGCTAGGCAGATGACAACAGCCATTGGGGAGACTTCATTCAGTTGCTCATGGTACCCCCTTGCTTAATTTTTGTATCACCTTATATTTCACAAAAATAAAGGCTGTCAGATTCAAAAGTTATGCTCTTGGTATGAGGAAGAATTGTTGATTGAACAATTGAACATACGCACATTGAACATACGCACATTGTAGGAAGCAATATCGTATTCCATTCTAAAATCTGTTTTATTCCAGATCAGACTTGAATCCAAGCTGATTGTAATAAATATGCTAAAATTACATGATGTCATTGTTCCTCATAAATGAACAATACACATTCTCAGAACTGCAGGTGAAATCTTGTGGAAGCAATGAGAATATACTGAGATGCAAGTATGACCCCAAAGAAAAAAAAATAGGTTGTTAAAAGAGTAAAATGTGAGTGTTACTGTACTCATATCACAGAATCTGTGGACGGAGCAACTGCTGGGCTGTAAAAAAGGGAGTTGAATATAAATAAACTGCAGGTAATTATGTATTTGTTATGTAATTTAACTAATGAAAGAAAAATAATTATGAAATTATCATGCAAATGAACCTAAGAGCATTCCTCATTAAAGAAAATGGAGAATAGAGAATCATCATAATTAATATACTGCCTATGAAAAGGAAAAATACAGGTAGTTCTCGACTTACAAGACTTTGTTTAGTGACCGTTCAAAGTTACAACGGCACTGAAAAATATGACTTATGACCATTTTTCACACTTATGACCGTTGCAGCATCCCAAGGTTTAGATGATTAATATTTGGACACTTGGCATCTGGCTCACATTTGTGACGGTTGCAGTGTCCCAAGGTTTCTTTTGCAATCTTCTGACAAGTCAAAGTCAATGGGGAAGCCAGATTCACTTAACAGCAGGGTTACTAACTTATCAGCTGCAGTGATTCACTTAACAACTGTGGCAAGAAAGGTCATAAAATGGGGCAAAACTCACTTAACAAACGTCTCACTTAACAATGAAAATTTTGAGGTAAATTATGGCCGTAAATCGAGGACTACCTGTATTATGCCTAGACCTCACTACTGTGTAGCAGATTGATATGTCTACTTAGCAATTTAATGTTCACCATTACTAAAAAATTGTCCAAATAGTTCGGTAAATAACAAAAGTTATGAAAATATGCAAATCCTCAGATGAAAATAGCTATCATATCAATAAAGTTTGATAAGCCACTATATATGTAAAATCTCTTCTTTTTTCCCCCAAGCAGACAAGAATCAAGTTGTGTGATCAGAAGGAATCAGCATTCTGTTGTTCTAACATTCTCTGCAACCTTTCACCTAATTTCAGGTGACCTTTTTTTAAAAAAAAAATTCAGATCCCTTCTGATAGATCCCATCAGATCACTGACAAAAGTGCATTCACATGGACACTTTCCCCCCCCCCCAGCAATAAGGGAAAAAAGGGAATATTAAAAAGAGAGAAAAATATATGGGAGAGAAAATGACTGACATCTTGGAGCAGTCTATATGTTGCTACAGTCTACCTACCATATAATCTCTGGCAGATTACCTCCAAAGGAATACAACATTTGATTTAAAAGAAGAGAAAAATTCTCTTGCTCCAGATCTAATATTAATTTTTAACCCTCAAAAGCCCTTATTTTTCATTTCAGGGCTTAACTTTAAACCTCTGCCTTTTGATGAAAAAGAAAAAAAAACTTTCTCTTACTCATTGAGTATTTAATGATTAATACTGGGTGTGTAATATGCAGTGTGACAGTTCTTTAAGAAAAGTGGCTAATTACTTCACTCCTCTAAACACATTTGCAACAATGGTTTCCAGTAACTTGGCAAGTCTCTATCTAAAGCATTTAATGGAATTACCATTGTTAGTTCCTTTTCTATAGGAAAAGGGGGATGTAGTATCATTATCCATTGCAGTATTTTAGTCTGTAACTAGAGCTGGAGCCATGTACAGTATATGGAATAACAAAAGTGGATTTAAAAAATATTCTTTTGATAGCACTTCAGGATTATAGAGCCAGGACCATCTAGATTACAGAGGAATGGGGCAACATTAACTTTACAATGAAATTAAAATATCTTGCAACTCTTCAACTGATAGTAATTCAGATATCAGAATCATGTGACCTTGCAAATAATTAGCTACTTTTGTGCATTATTAGCGGATGGGTTTAAGCAAGCAATGGGCATAGTAAAAAGTCACCATTATCTCAATAGTTCATTTTTCTTTGATATCCATCTTCGTTCTCTTTTCTTTGGCACATTCTCTTACTATATTTTCTTTACTCAACTCAACATAATAGGTTGCCAAAAGGGGGCTGGTCATTACTTTTGGTTCTCCATGTTTGCAGCAAAAGGGAATTTTGATGTATACAAAGAATGGGAGCCTAATAATGCAAGGTTATAGCTCACAGAGAAGTCTTCACATAGACATGGAGGTTTCCCACTGAAGAGAACTGTGCAACTATGGTAACATTGGACTTCAAAATAATCAGATAAATGACTTTCTAAAAGCCAGTTACAAAAGAGATTTAGCTTATCAGACACTGAACTGGAGATGTTACTCCCACGTAGTCTTTTGTAAAGAGCAGTCATTTGTAAAGATAGCAGCTGAGACTCTAGAAAGAGTACAGAGAAGAGCAACAAAGATGATTATGGGACTGGAGGCTAAAACATATAAGGAACGGTTGCTGGAATTGGGTATGTCTAGTTTAACGAAGAGAAGGATGAGGGGGGACATGATAGCAGTGTTCCAATATCTTAGGGGCTGCCACAAAGAAGAGGGAGTCAGGCTATTCTCCAAAGCACTTGAAGGCAGGACAAGAAGCAACCAAAGAGAGAAGCAACCTAGAACTAAGGAGAAACTTCCTGACAGTTAGAACAATTAACCAGTGGAACAACCTGCCTCCAGAAGCGGTGAATGCGTCAACACTGGAAGTTTTTAAGAAGAAACTGGACAGCCATTTGTCCGAAATGGTATAGGGTTTCCTGCCTGAGCAGGAGGTTGGACTAGATAATCTCCGAGGTCCCTTCCAACTTTATCATTATTACTTATTACTGATTAAAAACATTAATGGTTGTCATTGGGACCACTACTTTCCATTTGATTTTGAAAAAGCTAATTCCACTGGTAATTGTTATTACTTAGTTTCATTATAGTTAGAAAAATATGAAAAGAAAGAGAAAAGTGCAAAGAAAGAAGAAAAAAATAATGACTTCCAATTTTCTTCAGTGCAGTAGATTATGAAAATAATTCAACATCAACGCTTTGCTTTATGTTTCACAACACCTCAAGCCATTTCTATAATTACAAAATATTTCTAATCATCAAAACCTAAAATCAAATTCTCATTTTTTCCAGTTTTGAACAAAACTTTCAGAAGTGGTTTCCAAGTAGAAACAAGATTAGACCATTTTTTTTCTTTAATTAAAACAGACAGCTTCACCATCCCTAACTCCATCACATTTACCATCCACTCTTCCATTGAGGAAGAGAATGCTAATTCTATTTGGTCTGTTGTACTGAGGTCTCTTCCAAGATTGTGTTGTCAATTCCCAATAAGCAACAGAGGAAAAACAAATGCTTGTAATGCATAAGTACATGCTGGGTATATAGACTAGATGACCTCCCTTCCAACTTTATCATTATTATTATTAATAAAAGAAATAATGACCAGTTTAAGATATATGAACTTACCTTCTGCTTTTTCTCCATATGTGTATGGTTCACTAGTAAAATGTGGCAAAGAAAATACTAATGCTCCTAAAGCAATCAGAAAAGAGGACAAAGCCAGCCATCTTGGTTTGTGACCTCTTTCACCATAGAAGGATATAAAAAGGCATAACACGGAGAATGAAATGTCATAACCAGCAGAGATTACGCCAGTGAGGGAACTGCTCAAATCATAACGCTTCTCAATGGTAGAAATGCTCACATTTATCAATCCATTTACAATAATCCCTAGAAGAAAAAGAGAGACGTGTTAGTTTATTTATTCATGTTTTTAATCTGTCAAATTTGTAGGCCACCCAACTCCAAAACAATTCTTAGTAGCATCACAAATGAAAAAGCATAAGAAAAACAACACAGGGAAAAAGAGGCATAATCACCCCAAGAGAATAAGCAAAACATACTCCTTACATCATCATCAACGTAAAGTGGTCCATCAAACACCCTAAATCAAAGCTTGGAGAAAAAGCCAGCTTTTCAGAACCTGTTTGAAAGTGGGTCCGATTAATCAGATTACATATGTTTTGTTTCAGACCATCCTTTTCTGACTCTTGGTTAAACAGTGATAAAAAAAAATATTGCCCATTTAAGAAAGAAACACATACAATACTTTAGCCAGAATTCCCTTCAAAGAGAACTCTTAGGTTCCTTAACCTGATGGCCAAAACTAGAGACATCCAAGGAATATCTCAGACTCTACAATTTATATTTACAGTCTTTATTTTCCTTTCCTATTTCTTTCCCACTTTCCCACTTCCTATTTCTTTCCCATTTTCACCTACATTAATAAATGGAATGGTTTTTCTTTTCCCCAGATACATAGCTCCTTGAAATATTACACATCAGTCTGAATATATCTAATTAATGCAGAAGAAAACTTGTTGTGTTTCCAATAATTGTGCATAAGGTTACAGTGTTCGCTACCGGACATTCACCATCTAATCCATTCATTGATTTCTAAGTTTTTAATTCTGATTCCAGCCTACAGAATCCAAAGAAGGATCGCTTGCTATCTTTAAGAAGCACCTATTTTCATATTTAATTAGAATATTTCCATAAGTAGTTCTAGCTCTATCTTATTCAAGTCAGTATCATTTCAACCGCAATGTTTGAACAACAACTTTATAAAAAATCATAGGCATTGGCAACTATAACCTTCAATCTCAGTTATGGTTGATTGAATCCAAATTGCCACCGTGGAAGATTTAGATGGATCAGAAAATTAGGACTGCAATTGCTTAGTTCTGGTCAAATGCCAACTGTAAATATCACTTCTGAATCTAAAAGCTAAAGTTTATGTTTCAGGTCCTCCACCCATTGCTTCCTCACATATCATGTGGCAAGAGAGCTGAGGCACCATTTGACACATTGCTGAACAAGTTTCTTGTTGGAATAAAAACCTCATTTATGAATTGAAGCAGATTAGGGAACCGTCAAACTCTGTGGGAGTCCACAGCTGAATTTAATTTGTCCCTTTGATTTCTATATAATCACACACGGATCCTATATGCATAGGCCATCCACCCATGTAATCTGTACACTGTACACAGTGGTGGGATTCAGCCAATTCGCACCACTTCGGCAGAACCGGTAGCTAATTTTTTGTTGCCCAGGCCCAGAATGGACTTCCGGAAGCGGCATCCAAACAGAGAACAGGTTGTTCATATATTTGAATCCAACCACTGACTGTACAGATTGTTTAATTGATCCCAGTGTTCATCAGAATAAATGTAGATAAGTCATTGGGCACTTTTTAACAAACTATGGCAAGCTGGCATAGGGTATAAAAACTCCCCTTGCTGCAGTGACATTTTCTCTTCATGTCAAGGAAACAGAAACTTTTGCACAGGAGTTATAAGACTAGAAAAACAAGGAGACCAATAAGAGTTTCTGTTTTATTACCTCAATGGGGTTCTTTGGATCAAAGAAAATCTATCACCTTTGTTTGTTCCAATCAGATTTTATCATCAAAATAGCTGCTTTTAAACAGTTGGGAAATTTATAAATTTTCTTTTTTTACAAAATCTTATACCTAACCCTTTCCTGGCTATGAATCCCTAGTCTTAAAAAAAACTAAAATTCAGAATGATGGAATCTACATGCTATGTTGCAAAACAATTAGGTGCCGAGTTGTATTATTTCACTGAAATGAAATGTTTGACCATTGTAAGCTCCCTAGAAAATCTGGCTACGAAGCAGTTTGTGACATTTTTTTAAAGTGTGATACAAAACTGAGTAAAGCAGCACTCAGATCTGAAACTCTTTTTATAAAACACACCTCTCAGTCTACCTCATGGCACAGGAATGCTTGATATCAGAAGCCATTACCCAAGACAAGAAGCATATTCTCATTGCCAGAGAAAATAAGATGGGAGACGCCTGGTGAAGAAGATGGTCAAGCATTCAACCTTACATGTAGATAAAGGAATCAAGGGAGACTTCATGGGCCTCCACTCCATGCCAACACAAAGTTAATTATTTTCTGGTTTCTCTTCCAAAAGACAATGTTCCACTTGTAAGGTGATTGCCACACATCGCCAACCTACCTTAGTTTCGTCACATCTGCACATGAAAACCAGAGAAAGCCAGTGAACACATCTCTCCAGTGTGATTTTTTTTGTTCTAATATATGAGGGCTTGTAAAATAATCGTGTAATATAATATACTCAAGATCACTTTACATTGTGAACTGGTTAAGATCAAGGGGCTTAGAAGTACTCCAGAGGTTTGGGGTGCTTTTGTTGAGGGTGGAAAGCTTTCTCTTACTCATATTTCTGAATAAGAAACAATTGTATACTTCACATTAGCACCGCAGCTTAAATCCACTTGCATTGAATAAGCACTTGGTAATTATGAAACAAAGTTCTATTAAGCAGGATTGTAACATCCATCATGTTTCTTTTTCTATAAAATTGCAGAACTGGGACAATGAGGCCACCAATCTCTGCTTCGGTATAAGAAATGCTTTAATTTTTCTTATACTGAAGTAGAGATTGGTGGCCTTATGGCATTCTGTTGGAGACAAATGTTTTACAATAGTTCCAGTCCTTGGAATCTTGGGTTACGTCCAGAGAGTAGGGTTGAAATGCGACTTGTCAGGTTCTTTGACAATTGTCTCAAACTGACAGTAATTATTTGCAGTTATTTCTTGTTAATGCATAAACAAAATTATTTTCATTTTTTTTTTAAATCAAAATGCATTGAGAGAAAAGTGATGAGGTTATAAAAATGGAGCAACTGGATTTTTCCATTTAGGACCAATTTATCTCTTATTACATAGAGGAAAAGACTTGTTTTTGTTTTTTCTAAAGATAATCTGGGAGTTTCTTTTTTCTCTCTCTCATCATTACTAGAAAAACCTTCAGCTCGCTATTTACATAACAGTCTCCTAAAGATGTATTAATCTGATCTGGTGGTTAAGGCACCAGGATAGAAACCAGGAGACTGTGAGTTCTAGTCCCACCTTAGGCATGAAATTCAATTAGTAACCTTGAGCCACTCTCTCACCTCAACCCACTTCACAGGGTCGTTGTTGTGGAGAAACTAGGAGGAGGTATTAGGTATGTTTATTATGCATATTAATTAATTAATTAATTAATATTATGTATATTAGGTATATATTATTAGGTATGTTTTCTGTCTAGAATTATTTATAAAAATAATAAAGGCAGGATAAAAATAAACAAACTCACCATTATACTACCCTTGGACACTTAGGCTATTGATTTATGGTGTCCCACAGGATTTCCTGGAGATGTTCAATATTTATATGAAATTGCAGTTAAGAGATAATACCAAGTTCTGGAGTGCCCTGTCATCACAATGCTTTATTGTTTCTTGTCTTCCAACTCCAAGGGAATGATCAGTACAGGTAGTCCTCGTCTTACAACAGTTCATTTAGTGACCATACAAAGTTACAACGGCATTGAAAAAAGTGATGACCATTTCTCACACAAACATTGCAGCAATGGGGAAGCCACAGAAGGGGCGTTATCTTACCTGAATGCCTTTTCTCAGCATGATGATGGAGAATCCACCAGTGGGTTGTCTCAGCCTTCTTGCTTAGATAGGACTAGGTCTAGAAAGTTGCCATGCCTCCCGCTGGGCTAGACTGACCCAGTTTTTCGACCAAGGCAAAGCAACCGACGAGAGTCCGACGCATTGGCTCCTGCTATCCCTGACACAGGACCAGACGGCCCTTAAGGGAGGGTGTGGATTCTCCATCATCATGCTGAGAAAAGGGCAAAACTCAAGTGTTTCACTTAGCAACATAAATGTTGGGCTCAATCGTGGTCGTAACTCAAGGACTACCTATACTACTCTTAATGCTGTTGCATTACAGAGTGGATTGGATTAGGAAGAACATACTGAAGTTAAATCCAGTCAGGGCTGCCTCACAAAAAGTTGAATTTAGAGATTAAGGTTCAGAGGTTTTAGATCAGGGGTCTTCAAACTTGGTCCTTTTATGACTTGTGGACTTCAACTCCCAGAATTGGACTTCAACTCCCAGAATTGCCTGGCTGAGGAATTCTGGGAGTTGAAGTCCACAAGTCATAAAAGGGCCAAGTTTGAAGACCCCTGTTTTAGATGGAGTTGCACTACCTGGAGAAAATGAAACCTGAAGCCTGGGACCCTCGTTGATTTTCACCTGCCACTGGATTCTCAGATGGCAGTGGTGAGTAGTGGTAGTGGTAGTGAGCACCTGAACTATTACAATTGGTGGAGCAAGCTGCAGCTGTCCAAATTCATTCAATAGTTATCTGTGACTTTTCATGTATATCCATGCCACTTGGTTTACTGCTGTGAGTTCTACACCAAGTTAACCTTGAAAAGTATCCCTAAGTTACAAAGGAATGGCAAATAAGTTGCCAAAAGTGCAAAGTGCCAAAGTGCAAAGTGCAAGGAATGCACGATCCTGGCGCTGAATGACCTGCATTGATTAACCAATTGTTTAACAGACACAATTTAACGTTTGGGCTAATCCTTAAATCTATAAGTGGCTTAGGACCAAAGAAACTCTTCTTCCCTTTCAGACATGTCAGGTTGATGGTCTCCCTGCCCCCAATCAGAGGCTGGTTATGTGACACACAGGATGAGGGCTTTTTCTTGCCCCCCCCCCATGCAAGAAGTTTGCCTTGTGTTAGGAACGCCTGTAAAGATGAATCTCTTCCCCAGGACTTTAATTCCTGGTGAATTTTAGCCTTGGATTTCATTTTGTTCTAACCCAGTGGTTCTCAACCTTTTTAATGCCGCGACCCCCAACCAGTCGTAAGTCGAGGACTAAACCAGTCGTAAGTCGAGGACTAAACCGGTCGTAAGTCAAGGACTACCCAACTGGTCATAAGTCGAGGACTTTCCTTGCCCGGAGCACCGCGCATGCATGGTTCCGCCCCCTGCATCGGCCGAGGCGTAGCTGGCAAGCGGCAGAGATGGAGCAGGCCGACCACCAGCTGGCCCAGCTCAAGGGAGGTAAGGCACCCCCCCGGAAAAGGGGAAAAAATGGCGGACAGCCTTGCTTGGCGACCCCCGTGAAATGGTCGATCGACCCCAAATGGGGTCCCGACCCATAGGTTGAGAACTTTATTACTGCTAATTGCTTTGACAGCCGCGCCGGAATCATCGTCACAGATGGGAAGGCATCAAGTTAGGGAACGATCTACCTGTGGAATTCGCTCAGGGGCGCAGCGTCTCGGAAGTGGGCTTCCTCCGTTCTTCATCCTCCCTTTCGATGGGACAGGGAGCTGGAGATGAGAGGGAGGGAGGGAGGGAGGGCGGAACGCTAATGTCTCCAAGGTAACTCAATAGTCCGGACAAAAAGTCCCGCTTACCTTGGAAGACGGAGAGGAGGCTGTAGAAGACCAAGTAGCCTTTGACGTTGTTGCAGACCTGCAGGGCGCGAGGGGTGCACCGGCCGATCCCGCAGAGTTGCTCGTCCGGATCAAAACTCTGCGACTGCAAGATACTCGGGGTGACCGAGGGGAGTTGCGGGTCGAGAAGATCCGGGTTGGAGGTCTGGAAAGCCGGGTTGTCCAAGCCAGCCTTTTTCATGGCGAGATCGGAAGGGCCGGGAGAGGCTCAGCCGCCAAGCCCGCCGCAGCGTCCGAAGCACCTGTCGTCCAAGCGCCTGCCCGCCTACATAGGGCAGAGGAAGAAGAGGCGATTCAAGGCGGGACCTCGCTGTCGAGAACCGGCAAAGTGAAAATTAGGAAGAAGAAGAAGAAGAAGAAAAAGAAGGGCAATGAAGAAAGCCAGCCCTCTTGAGAGAGGGTGAAGGTGGAACCCTCGGCGTGGGACGCGCAGCTTTGTGACTTGAGGTTTCTCCTTACTGGAATGACCAGTTTGCTCGTATGCCCAAGGAGACGCGCCACCTTTGCTCCCATCAGTGTGTGAAATCAGCCCAGCGGGGAGAAAGGCGAGCTGCGAGCGGGACAGCCGCCAGGAAGACCAAGCCCAACCTCTCCCCATGCTCCCCTTTGCCTCCCCGCTCACCTTTAAATAGCAGCCACCGGAGAGGAAAGAGTAAGCGCATGAATTCGTAAAGAAGAGTGAGCCGGTAGATGTCACCCGTGTCCGTATTAAATCTGGAGTTGCCTTCTCGTTTCTCCTCCGGACTCTGAGCTAAGCTGAGCTGAGTTGGCTTCTTAATATTTGCAGTTTCGGGGTTTGGGCGATTCCGTTCCCATGCCCGCTCGCCACGCTTTCCTGAGTATGGAAATGTGTATCAAGACATTCCAGTTTATGGTCTTAATAAATGGCGATTCCAGATCATTGTTACAGCTCATGGCAAAAACATTGGGTCAACTTAGCCAGCCAGGTTAATTGCAGAACATCCAACCCATCTGGAATGTTGCAGACAGTCTGCTTTGTGACAGTTAAAAATGACAGTTGTCAATGGCACCACTGAAGGCATGACATCACTCTGCCAAAAGTACACATTCTTTCTGAACTGGACCTGTAGACATTAACACTAGGTGTCCCCAAGTTTAGAAAAAAGTGAATATTTTATACTTCAGACATATCTGGGGATTTCGCGAAAGTTCATTAAAGCCAATGGCAGGACGAATAAATAACTAATTGAAAGGATTAAGAATAATAGATGAGTTTTCCTTTTCAGTTTAAAGTATTGATAAGATTTGAACTTAAACTTGATTTTTTCCAATCCCACCAAGAATGGCAAAGTAACATTCCTGTCTGGTGTAAGTATGATTTTCTATTGTGATTAACAACAATTTGTCAATACTTTATTCAAGAGGAGGGTATTATGTCTCCCTGTCACTCACTGATGAAAGACGATAAAAGTGAGTATGTTTGACCTTTATGTAAAAAAAAACCCTACTACTTTGCCTTTTTAAACTCAAGTTAGACACATCTGGCTACAACTCGCCGTGGGCTGATGGGAGCACTTGCTACTTTTATTTTCAGGATGATAGTAGTTCTATTGTAATGAAGCCAGCGGAGTTGTAATTAACCCCCCCCCCCTTTCATGAGTTAGTTAGGAGATCAAAATCTACTTTTTTATCCAGGCCCTTTTATTCTTTCAGGAGTTTTGTTTTAATTGCTTTAATATTTTAATTGCTTTAAAAGGTACTGTGATATTGTTTTTATGGTGTTTTAAAGCTTGTTTTCTTTGTATTCTTGGATGCAGTCCTGAGCCATTATTAGAGTGGGCAGCTTACTAAAACTCCAAGAAAACAAATAAACAAAAAAGAGCTTTTGGAGGTAATAGCAAAGTAGGACTATCCTCTTTTTTCTATACCCAAAGCACGGGAATTGAATATCTCTGCGGGGTACACTAAGAGGTGTGGGAGCAAATGAGTCTCCCCCAACTAATCACTGGGAGCAAGAAATATTCTGTAGAGCAATGTTTTTCAATCTTGACATCTTTAAGATACCAGTATCTGGACTTGAACTCCTAGAATTCTGGGGATTAAAGTCCATACATCTTAAAATTATCAAAGTTGAAAAACACTGCTTTAGAGAGAAAGAACATGACAATTATAGTTTCCCCACAACAGCAGAAGCAGTATGACATTTCCTCAACAACCCACAATCACTACATAATAATCCATTGCTACATATTATGCTATATATGTTATGCAATGGAAAGTGACTCAGATGACCAAAATAAGAATAATGGTGTTCATGATTCCTTTTAGTGCACAAATTTAAAACAGTGAACAGTGAAAAAAAAAGAGCTCTCTTTGGACTTTGATTAATTGAAACCATGTTTATCAGACTTTTTAGGCAATTTGAAATATTTAAAAATTAAAATTCTTTTTAAAAAAAAATAAAAGTAGAGCAACAACATAGTACAATTAATGTAAGTATATATGTAAACATTGTGCAAATAAACAAATGAAGCATCAATTCATTTAATAGGAACATCCAAAACTTTATTAGGAACATCCAAAACTTCACTGCCTGTTTATAAAACATTCATGAAGTGAAGAACAAAATAGGCAACATGCATGTATTGCAACACAAATTCTGCCCTAGATATACCTGTATCTGCAACTCATGTATCCAAGAGTGAAGTTTACATCCTGATTTTACAATGCATATTTCATCATTCTAACATTACAGTCACTAGCAAAGAAGAAACCATCCACAGATAGTTGGATATTTTACAAGGACTGCTGCTACCATAGAAATGACCCTATCTCATATGTAATTATCCTAGTAAATTTTCCTAATAGATTCAAGTGTAGGAATTCCAATCTTAGTGTCAAGTTTCTACAGAGATGGAAAGTACCAAATTATTTAGTCATTACACCCTGTCACCAATGAGATAATAACCTCACTTTGGTCCATCTATGTTCCAGATGTCTTGGCAGATTTTAATACCCTAAAAGAGTATAAATCCACCACAGGAAATGTACCATGACATGATTAGGTGGAACACTAGTGATACACAAGTCTGCTTTTGTCAAGATGGTGGTATTTATTATAAAATGAAGTCAGGACATTTTGCAGGATGAGGAAAGAGAACATCATCTTGTTGATTTTCTGATCCAACATGGAACAGGCATCTCACCATTAAAAATATCTCAGAGCTGATATAGAGGTGCAAAGTTGACCAACTGTTACTTTGGATTATCTATGTTTCTTCTTTTTCTCAAATCTTTTTTAATCTATTAATACACAGGAGAAACATGCTCCTGTTTGTAAAAAAAAAATAATCTCTTGGGTGAGTGACCTAAGAATGAAAATAAATATTTCATGTTCTTCCTGGTTTTTTTAACTTTGATTTGCTGTACAGTCCATGCCCACAGACAAAGTTCAACTGTACATGGACTTCGGTCTACCATATCAGTTCCTTATTTGCTCACGAAGTGACTGAAATTTAATATAACTTCATTAGAGATGATATTACATCTCTAAGTGACATTGTATACAATTACTATCTGAAGCCTACAGAAAGCAAATCTATTTGGCAAAGAGTATACTATTTTCCATTATACTGTATATTGGAAATAAAAATATATTAATTATCCTGGCCTAAAAAATAAGAACCAGGAAATGCATGCCAGCTAATGTTCAATGGGAAAGGCGTGTTATTTGTTTATATCGATGAGCTATTCCAGTAATGTAAATATAGCCAAAATTGGGGAGAGAGTTGCCTTGGATTGTACAGACAGAGGAATATGTGCCTGGGCAAACATCTTTTAAATATTAACCATCACATCCAATCAGGAAATCTAATATGAGCAGGATGGCCCATTGGTAGAGGTGGTATGGCAACTATACTGATGGAGCAAACCAGAAGGGGGGAAAAAAACATCAGTACAAGAAGTAAAAGAAGTTAACTGTGAAAATCAGGAAACACCCACACCCACATACACAAACACACACATTTTCTTAGATTGTAAATATGTGACAGTAGTAAATGTCTATGGAGATTCTCAATCATCCAGATCATGAGTGTTCCAAAGGTGCTGTTCAAAAGGCAACTGGACTTTTTTGTGGTTTTTTCTTGAAAATATTTCATTTCTCATCCAAGAAGCTTCTTCAGTTCTGAAGAACTGAACTGAAGAAGTTTCTTGGGTGAGAAGTGAAATGTTTTTAAGGGGAAAAAAAAATAAGAAAGTCCAGTTGTCTTTTGAACAGCACCTTTGTGATAGTAGTAGTAACTGCATTTGTACAATACTTTTTACAATTGCATGTTACAGATAAATAGAAACTCATTAAGAATAAATTCTAGTGTATATAGGTAGGCCTCAGAACTGACAATGCATCCCATGAAATGCTTGTATTATTTGAATTTACACTATAACTTTCTAGTTAGTAGAAAACAAATATATGTATATATCATTCCTATCTATCTCCTAGATCAGTGTTTCTCAATCTTGGCAACTTGAAGGTATGTGGACTACCAGTTCCACAATTCTGTGAGTTGAAATGTATATATCAGTGGTGGCGAACCTATGGCATGTGTGCCAGAGGTGGCACTCAGAGCCTTCTCTGTGGGCACGCACACCATCGCCCCAGCATAGTTCGACAGAGTAGCGAGCACGTGGTGTTTGGAAGCAATGGGGCAGGAAGTGAGCAAGCAAGTGGCATTGGCCCCCTGGGGATGGCCCAGAGATGGCAAGGACTGGTCCCCGCCACCCTGGTCCCAGTCCACCCACCCCAGCCACGCTCACCCAGTCTGCCATGACCACTGCAGCTGTGACCACCACAGCTATGCCCACCCAGCGGCCATGCCCACTCAGAGGCCATGCCCACCCAGTGGGCCACACTCCCCCGCTCTGCCTGAGAGCACCACAATGCTGATGCGGCCCTGGCACTTTGCAATAAATAAGTGAGTTTTGTGTTGCAGTTTGGGCACTCGGTCTCTAAAAGGTTCTCCATCAGTGGTATATATCGTCCAGATGCCAATGCTGAGAAACACTGTTCTAGATAAGTAGATCTCATAAATATTTAAAATAAATCAAGTGAACAAAGGATAAGCTGGAGAATAAATCCATTTCTGCAAGGGCATTTCAGCTGAAATTGGCAGCTAGATTTGAGGTTCAGGCTGCCAAAATTCTCTCCGGGAGAAAAAGAAAACTGGAGATTGTCTATATGTACTTCAAACAGCTGATTTTTGTGAGCAGATAGCATAAACTATTATTTTTACAGCCACTTGTGATCAGCTGGAAGTTGCAGATTCCATCATTCTCTGAGGTATAAATTCAGCCTTTTAGACTGA